GAGCGCCAGTGGCTCTGAGAGTCCCTTGTCTTTTCCTCGTGATTACAAGATGCACTGCAACTCCAGGCACCACCTGTGCGCTTGGAAGGAGAGGCCACACATCTGTCATCTTTCATCAGGAGTGCAGAGCCCCCCTCCCAGCACCCTCAGCAGCCACTGAACTGAGTAGACTTGGTTTCCTTGTCATCCCCCGCAGCGACACAGGAAGCTGGGAACATGAAGGTTCAATCTTCCCAGTTCCTGTCGTAGAGACAGGAGAGAAGAAAAGTCATTAGGAATCGATGTCAGGATGGTCACTCACGTTTTCCACAAGTTCAGCCAGTTGTTTTCCATATATTACTTAGAAGACGAGTCATTCCATCAGGACACATGAAAATAACTTCCCGAACCCTGGAGTCGGCCTGCTCATTCCACTAAATCTGAAGAGCTTCAAACTGAGGATCATCCTCTGAGTCTTAGATTTAGAGACTTAGTTGCTTAAGGCCTGGAGACTATCCAGTGATTTCATCAGGTCTATGATCATTTCATTCACTGAGTCAAGGCTATCCGTTCCCAAGTTCTCAAAGCATCATGAAGTACAAAACATACAAGATGGGTCTTGTGAAATGGCTCAGCAGGTAAAGGCACTTGCCGCCAAAGCTGACAACTTGAGTTTGATCCCCTGGCCCACATGGTAGGAGAGAACTGATCCCTACAGGTTGTCCTGTGAGTTCCACACACACTATCCCACACAACACACACATAAAATAAGTAAATGTAATTAAAAATATATAGAATAGCACACTCTTTTAATCCCAGCCCTCGGGAGGCAGAGGCAGGCGGATCTCTGTGAGTTCAAGGCCAGCCTGGTCTACATAGTGAGTTCCAGGACAGCTGGGGCTGCAGGGAGACCCTGTCTCAAAAAGACCAAAAAAAAAAAAAAAAAAAAAAAAAAAAAAAAAAAACCACACACACATGTATATATACCAGGCGTGGTGCTGCTTACCTGTAACCCTAGGAACAGGAAGGCAGACATTCAAGGTCATCCTTGGCTACATAGAGACTGGCTACCTTCCTGCTCATCATGCCCCACCCCCATCTTCATAGGATAACTTCCACTCTTCGTTTCAGTGGTTCTAAGAAGAATGTTCTACCTCTTATTCAAAATTGATTCCAAGTATGTCAAGAAAAAAAAAGATCTTCAATAAATGAGGTACAAAGAAAATATCAGAAAAATCAATATGAGTCAGTTCATCAAAATGCATTTGGATAATTAAGCTAAAAGCTGATCTCAGATCCTGCTAGGTAGATGTGACAATCACTTGAATGTGCTATGGGCGGTTTACAATACAATCACAAGACTTCCCTAGATGTAATTTCTACAGGACTCTGTATTGTGCTTATTTTTAAAGCAAATTTGTTTGTAAATCTCTTGGCAAGTATGTGGAAAGCCCGTGGTTTATTTCCAACTCATACATGAGGAAGACTTGGCTACACGTTTTCACAGTGGCAACAGCTAAGCTTTCGCAGGCAATCCTCCATGTCCTGGGTGGAGGGAGCGTTACGGTGTGCACAGTGAGCTTGCACAAGGTTTGCCAGTGTTGTGCCATGCTGGTGCACCAGTGGCCTGAACTGCACAAACACTCCCAAGGTTTGGGTCGGAGAGCAAGAAGATGACCCAGATAAAGGTCCTTTCTGCACCATCTCCAAAGCTGATTTAAAGACTCTTCCCTCTGGTCTTTTACAAGACCAGAATAAGACCTGGGGCTCATTCTGCAACGCCTAGACAAATTACTTCTTTTACACACGCTTCTTACTTTTAAAAAAAGTTCTTTGGTAAAAATGTTTATTATTATTATTATTATTTGGTCTTTTTGAGACGGGGTCTCCCTGTAGCCCCAGCTGTCCTGGAACACACTATGTAGACCAGGCTGGCCTTGAACTCACAGAGATCCGCCTGCCTCTGCCTCCTGAGTGCTAGAATCAAAGGCGTGCACCACCATGCCCGGCTATTATTCATTTTTATGTATATGTATGTATGATGTATGTATATACATGTGTAGGGACATGTGTGCTATGCCTGTATGTGGAGGTTAGAGGACAGTTTTTACAACTTTCAGGAGTCAGTCCTCGCCCTCTTTTATGTAGATCCTGGGGATCAAATTCAGGCTGTCAGGCTTGGCGACAGCCTTTACCTACAGACTCATCCTCCAGCCCTTTTTCTTTCTTGTTTTTTAAGTTTTTATCTAATTTTTAAAAATGACATTTATGTATGTATGTACTGTGTATGTGGGGGAGTGCTCATGCGACCTCATGCACAGGCAGATGATAGTTTACACAGCTTCAGCAGTCAGTTCTCTCCTACCGTGTGGGTCCTGGACATTAAATTCAGGTCATCGGGTTCAGAGGCAAACAGCTGAACCCACTGAGCTATCCCACCAGCCCATAGTTCCTCTCTTTTCTGTGAAGCACACCATAAATAGTCTTTAATTCATTTCATACATCCAACAGCTTTTTGCTGAGTGCCTTCTTAGGACTTGATGTTCTAAGTATTACAAGTCTGTGTTGTAGTGATACTCCTCAACATTACAAGGTAGTTGTTATTAGCTACCTTTGAGTATGTATGTATATATGTCTGCCTTTGTGTGCATGTTCATGTTGGGAGGGGTGCATGAGCACATGCATGCACGTGCGTGTGGAGGCCAGAGGACAAATTTGGATGTGGTTTCTCATATGTTTCCCCAGTGCTTGGATTGTAAGCATGAACCAGCCTCCCCAGATTTTTTACCCTGGGTCCTGAGGACTGATCTCTTGGGTTTTCATGATGGTACCATAAGCACTTTACTGAGCCAGCTCCCCAGCCCTTTGCTACATTTAAAAAATTAAGACAGGAAGGCCCAGAGACAAGACAGCTAACATCCCAAAGTCACACAGCTGCCTGGCAAAGCCAAGTGGGACCTGCTCCACTCCGAACACCATACTTTTCCTCTTGCTACCTTTCTCCTGGTGCTGACCTGATCAGACACGCCCCGGCTAACTAGGACATCGCATTGAGACCAGAATTCATGAACATTTAGGGTTACCCTGCTAAAATAGTACTCCTCGTACAAGAATTAAATGTAGGCCCTGCCATTGTTGATCTTGCTATCAAAGCATTTGGTGTCTCTTCTTTCCTTCCTTCCCTCCCTCCTCCCCCTCCCCCTCCCTCCCTCCCTCCTTCCTTTCTTTCTTGGGGTAGGTTGAGACAGGGTCTCATGTAGCCCAGACTGGTCTAAAGCTGGCTCTGTAGCTGAGCATGACCTTGAACTCCTAATCCTCTTGCTTCCATCTCCTGAGTGTTGGGATTACAGACGTTCCCCATTGCACACGCCTGCTTCATGCAGTGCTGGGTACCAAACCCATGACTTTGGGCATGCTAGGTGAGTATTCTACAAAGTGAGCTACCGGTCCCAGAAGCCGTTCATTGTAACAGTCACTAACTCATGCTTCCATTAATTGTCCTGCAGGCCAACTTTAAGTTGGGAATTTGATAGCTCTTGGTAAGAATCTCCTCAAAGGAGTGAAAAAGAACTCAGCTTGGTTGGTGTCAATGGCCCTCGGTGTCTGACTTCTTTACTCACTGGCTAAATAACTTTAGGTTGCATAGTTTCTGGATGTTTTAATGTCAGTATCACAAGAAACAAATAAGATGGTACATCCAAGAGGCATTTGAAAACCGGAAGGTCAAATACAAAGACTAATCCTGATCTTTGTTTGCAAAGCAAACGGGTCAGAAAATTATAGGCAGTGAGAGAGAACACTTCAGCTGAGCTTACAAAACTTCTAATTAAAAAGATAATTTAATTATAAGATTCCAAGAAAGCCTAGTGAAATTGAGCATTTTCTGTCATACCTTGTTCGTACTGGTATTTGGGGCATGAAATTCTGAAGAGGGTTGATTCTTCTTGAGCATAAATGCAAACCAGGGTCGAGAGACAATTCTGGGCTGGGCAGAGAGCTATTGGTGAAGTGTTTCATGGCAAACATGAGTTATATCCCCATCACCCACATAAAAGGCTGGGCATGGTGGCATGTGCCAGTGATCCTAGGACTAGGGACGTGTACACAGGAGGATCCTGGGTCTCACTGGCCAGCTAGTCTAGCCTAATAATGAAGTCACAAGTCCCAGTTAGAGATTGTCTCAAAAAACAGGGTGGATGAAGCTTGAAGAATGGAAGCCAAAATTGACCTCTGGCCTCCATTCACATGTGCATACATATGTACACATATACTCCATGTGCACATGTACACAGGCATACATATACATGAGAGAGACAGAGAGGGGGGGATCCTTTTGCTTCCCCAGTCTTCTGGTTTAATACAGAAAGACACCTGGTGAGGGTTACTCACAGCTTCTGACCGGCATTCCTTGGTGTCTAGGGGGAATGGAGTGCAGGCGACCACCTCTCATGTGGTTGGTGTTATGTCCTCATAGGCTTCTGTATTTAAACATTTAGTCCCCTGTGCTGGTGCTGTTCTGAGAGCTTGTGCAACCTTTAGGAGGTGGGACCTACCTGAAGAAGTGGACCACTAGGGCCAGGAATTAAGCCTTTATAGCCTGATCCCACTTCCTGTCCTCTCTACTTCTTGGTCTGTCTCCATGTGAACAAGCAGCCACACACTACAGCTGCCACATCTCCCACAGTTCCCTACCACGATGTACCATCCCCTCAACCATGAACGAAAATCAACCCTTCCCCTAAGTTGCTTTTGTCAGTCAGTGAGTCAGAGCAGGGTTGGCAAACCTCAGATTGCATCCATGTGGCTGTGGATAAGCATCATGGTGACTGGTTTGGAAATGTCTTATACCTAAAAACAGGCACACATGGAAGAAAGAAAACTTTGGACTTTTGTTGAGCTCAAACCTGATGTCAAAGTGGTGGTAAGAGCTCTGATCCACTTGTCAACCCAGATGTAAGGTATATTATCCCAAAGCCCAACCTTCACCTTCCCAACTCTCTATGCAAAGTCCTGGTCTTCTCACTTCCTTCCCCATCAGCCTACTCCATATTTCTGACCAGCTCACCTGGCTCCGACATTATGACATTGTATCTAACTTTATTCTTAGGCTCCTTTTGGGAGGAATCAGCCCTTAATGAGAGGCACACATGGCTACATTCGAGTGGTAGACAAAATGAGTGCTTCCAAGCAGGTGTGTGGTCCCTGGGCTCTAGTCCCAGGCCACCTCTGGTATGCTGCAACATTGTGGTCCGGGCCTTTCATTTCCCTGAGCCTCTGGTTCCACATCGGTGAAGGCGGTGCTAATCCCGGCTGCTTGCTCGGTGTGATGAGATGTGTGCAGAATACTTGAACGGAACCAATAAAAAGGGTCCTGTTCCCTTGCCCCATGTTATCCTGTGACAAGTGAAATCATGGTGGAGTCTAGGGCTGTAGTTCAGTGGGACAGTGCTTGTCTGGCATGTAAGAGACCCTGGGTTTGATGCCTGGCATGGTGAAACAAAACAGAAGAGGAGGACCTGATGGTTGAGCACTTAGGATGGCCACAGTGGGGATCTTTCCTGGGGGTGGAGCATTAAAGTACAGTCTGCTAAATCTCACAGATGAACCTCAAAGAAGAGAGGGGTCCAGTTCAGATTGAAGTGTTTTCTGAAGAGAGCTATTATCTTCTTACAGCATCCAATTCCCTCCCTGAAGTTGGGCCCGCCAACTTCAGGATAGAGAAGAGAAGTGGAGTTAGTAACCTTATTACTTCTCTAAGCACAGCATTCACCAAGAAAGGAATGGGGTCATCATTCTAGGCAGAGAAGGAGGTGGGATGGCAGGACAAGTAAGACGATGGGAGCTTAGTGTGCAGTAAGACTCTCACTGCATCCGGGCTGCTCAGGGACAGGGACACTGGAGAGTCGGGCCAGAGGCACACACTGGAAACTGTGCTCCACGTTCCTGAGGAATCGTTTAAGGCTTTCTGTACACACTTTTCTCTGTTTCTCTTGCATTCCCAAGTCCACTGGTCCTTCTGTTTATTTCTGACAAACGCTACTTGGGAAGGAAGGGAGAGCAAAATTAGCTGAGCTAATTGATCATTAAGTACAACCAGCCATTAAATACAAATTTCCATTTATAATCATTTCAACTCAAAGAATTTCTATTATTAGATTGTTTTATTGATAAGCTCAAGAGGTAAATCATTAAGTATGTAAACAATATAAATTTCCATGTAAGAAAGAGATGAATATTTATCAGTTATGTAGATTGTCAAGATGTCATCTAGGGGAGTGGAGAGATGGCTCAGCAGTTAAGAGCACTGGCTGCTCTTGCAGAG